TTGATAGTATCAAGTCTGAGAGTACAGGCAACTACACTGAAGATGACAAGACTCTACGATGCACATTCTGGTTTGATAACTGCCGGTTTTTCAGTTTCTATGCTATATACAAAGTTGTGTTCTTATTAATACTGTTATGTACTGATATATTCAATTATACTAAGTCTGATGATATAGCCAATTCTATTGGAGATAACAAGAGACAACACAGGAACCATGGTAGAATTCTTTGTACAGTGTTCTTGTATGTTTCTTTCATTTCATGTGTTTATAGGAATATGTTTTGTTTTGTCTTGCTTTGTTTTGTTTCTCCCTGTAAAATAGAAAGGAAAGAAATACAAATATAGAAAAACTCATGCATGTGTAGAATCTATAAACATTTTATGAGAACTGATCTTATGACACATGATGAAATGAATAGATACTTTGAAGAAAAAAAGACACTAAGGTACCCAGTGCGGATCCTGGAGCGTCATAATGTGAAATCCAGCAATAGTATTATTCTTTGTTCAGAGTGATATTAGCCTGCTTGGGTTTATTCAATCTCAACATAATTGAAGAGATGGATAACTGCATGTATGTTTAAGTGTATAGGATTGGGGCTGGGGATTTAGCTCAGCAGCATAAGCACCTGCCTTGCAAGCAGACAGTCTTGAGTTCAACCCCTGGCACCGATAAAAAGGAAAAAGAAGAAAGAAAGTGTGTAGGATTGATAACCATATTTCTAAGTTTTTGTTGCAGAGTTGAACAGAACTAGTTGCAATCTCACTGTTTGAATCCCCACTTTATATGCTCCACTTTAGTATCTTGAATAACTATTTGTAAGAAGTCAGTCTGAAATCGTCAACTAGTGATTTTTTACTGTTTATTTTTTTCTTTGAAATTATGTATTATTTCTATCCATTTTCTGTTTTGTTTAGCCTTTCTTTAAATTAAATTTAAAAAAGACACTAATCAGCTCTTCAAGATCGATGAGGACCAAGATCATAAGAATACCTTTGCTGTCACTGCTGTAACTCTGTGAGTCCCTGATCCTCTGACCAAGGAGACTGTGGGACCTCAGAGGAGAGTGATCATTGGTGTGTGGTGTGGCTGAGGAGAGTCACCAGGAAAGAAAAATCTCCTAAGCTTTCACAGAAAGCAACTTGGTCAAGCAATGGCTGTGACTCATCCAGGTGGCTGACACTGAGCGGTACTGAGAGGTGCTTGCTGTGCACAGTTCCAAGGCAGCTCCTGAGGAGACCTAACCAACCTTGATGGATAGCCAGAGACTGACCGTAATTAATATAGGTCTCGCTTTAACTGGGTCTTGGGCATCCAAAGGAAAGTATAACCACAAAACACATAAAACAATGCTATAGTAATGTTATAAAAACAAAACTCTGTTATAAAAACAAATCACTAACACCTTCTGACAATTGCCAGCTTCACTGATGACTGACTAGTGTTAAGGACTGTACAGGGCTAAATTACTAAACACAGGAACTTAAAATCTTTGGACTAAAAACCTTTAACATAAGTAAGTTCACTTAAAATAAAAAGGGTTCAAGAATAAAAAGGCCTTCTACAGAGTTCTCCAAACACAGCTCCTCCAACTTCAACTGACCATGCATCATTTGCAACTACAAAATAGAAAAGGGGGAGATGCAGGGAGTGCTGACGCTGGAAATTGCTGGCAACCTGGAGAGCACAAAGCGAGCCACATAAACAAGCTCAAGAAGGCAGAGTGCCCAGGCCAGCCAGGAAAATGAGTTTCGAGGAGAAGAGTTGGATTTGACATCTTCTTCCTGAGTGTATAAGTAAACGTGCGAGGGTGGTTGAGCAGTTCCTTTTCCCCATCAGGAGAGAGGGCTTCACCTGCCCTCGGTTTTCGTCTTTTCTTTATTTCCCATCCTCTCGCTGCCCCTGGGAACACGTGGCAGCTAAGGAGTCTCATGGTTTTGCAAAAAAGCCTACTGTAAGCTAGTGCTGCTGAGGTTCTGCGGAAGACACAGTAAGAACCCGGAGGATTTGCCTTCACAATGGGGGAAACAAAGCTACCACCTGGACATGTGGTCAGTGATAGCGCCCTCCTAGCATGTAGTGGGTTCAGTCCTTAGCACTGCAGAAACAAAAACTGAATGAAACAAAAACAACTATCACTTCACTATAGTAACCATAGTAACCAGGGAAATACAAATTAGAACCCATACAATCCGTCCAATGTGCCCAGTACAGTGCAATAACCCACTCCCGCATCAGAGACTGCCAGGAGGTGCACGTGGGTGTGGCTTGGAGAAAGAACACAATTTTGGTGAAGCCAGTTCCAGTGCCCCCCATTCCCATCCCTTTGCATCCACATTGACCCTACCAGGGTTTCCATGCCTGCGCCCAGCGCTCATCAACAGAACTGATGAGAAAGTCTGAGTTCCCGGGTGGGATATTACACAGCCATGACTGGTGACCCACAGCTGTAAGAAATATACAGTAGCTGAGTCTTGCCAGCAGGGTGAATGACAGAAGCCGGGACTCTCTGTGCTGTGTGCTCCTATTATGGAAAATGCAGGAGAAAGTGAAACTAACTTGCGGTAGAAATCTGGAGAGGGCCAGGGGTTTAGCTCAGCGGTATAAGTACCTGTCTGGCAAGTGTGAGGTCATGAGTTCAATTCCCAGTACCAAAACAAAGAAAAAAATCTGGACAGTGACTGTCCCAGGAAGGTGGCAAGGGGACCATTGATGCTGGGAATTTTCTGTATTTCTGTCCCAGATGCCAGCAACTCGAGAAATGCATTGTGGGAGAATTCGTACATTTAGCTGGGCATAGTTTCCCAGCACATAGGAGGCTGAGGCAGGAGCAGGTTCATGTGAGTTTAAGGCCAGCCTGGGCTACATAGCGAGTTCAAGTTCAGTCTAAACTATACAGTAAGACCTTGCCCCCCCCTTGCCAAAAAAAAGTGGTATGTGTGTGTATGTGAACTTTACACATTTATCTCTATGTACATTATATTTCAACACATTTCTTTAAAAAATAGCACATTTCAGATTGTAATGCATAAGAAGAAGTTAATTGCATGAAATATCCCTGCAGAATCGCTTGCATCCACATCTGTACACATTTAATGCATAGAACAGGTCTGGCCAGACATAATCACATACAGGGGACACTGCTGCAGAAGGCTGGGCTGGAGGCAAATAGGATGAGGTGACAGATTTCCTTCCTGGCTGCACTGATTATAAATTGCCTGAACATTTTTCTAGAAACCTATAGTTCGGTTCATCTATATAATATACTATTTAAAACATACCCAAGAATGGATTCCCAGTGAATTTCACAGTTCTGGTAACTTACATGCCTCAGTCCTCTCTTGTCTGCAGCTTCACTGTGTTAGAGATCCAGAGAGTGACTCTCCCAGGAAGATGATGAGGAAGAAGAAGACAGAGCAGAGGGTTCCACAGTTGCTGGGGTTATTCTGTCTTTGTATCCTAGATGCCAATCACTAGAGACAGACAGCTTCATTTCCCAAGGCAACTGTGGCCAACCAAATATTAATAGGAATGTCCAGAAATAAAAATAAACAATTCATAAGTTTTAAGAAATGTGATGAAATCTCTCATCAATCATCCCTTTGTCCAGGGTATCCATGTTGTATACATTACCTCCTCTGTTATGGTTTCTATCAAGATGTCCCCTTAAAGCCTCATGTGCTTGTAAGTGGGGATTTGGGGAAGACACTGGATCGTGGGAGCATGGTACTGATTGATGAGTACCACACCCCCATGATCCAGATGTGGTGAGAGGTGCAGCCTGGTGGAAGAGGTGGGTCACTGGGCACGTGGGCTGGAAGAGCTGACCTCCCATCGTCCTCCTTTGACTGCTCCCTGCTTCCTGCTGCCATGCTATGAGCTGTTTCTTCTCTGTCGTGCCTTTTGTCATGGCCCTCTGCCATGCTGCCCTGCCTTAGAGCCAAGCTCAAGGGCCATGGGGCTTACCCATCCATACCTCTGGCCCTGAAGGATGGAGCCTGGGCCTCTCCTCCTCGAGAAGGGCCAACATGAGGCCCTGTGCCTGCGTGAGTCCAGTGAGCCTAGGATGAAGGTGGAGCCCCACTGGCAGGGAGCTAACACGGTGACCAGGAGGGACTTCGTCCAGGACGGCAGATGGGGCATGGTTTGGACGGAGCTCCTCCAAGCCCCTGGCTGGCTCTGTCTTCACCAGGGACACTTGAGATGCAGAGGGGATTGGCTGGCAGGGGATTCCCACATTGACTGTTGTGCCCCTTTTGAGGTGTACTGATGGGATTTTTAAGACTTGGACAACTGTGAGGGGAGGCACAGGACTCGAGTTGTGGGCCCTTGTATGGTCACACGTGTAAGGTGGTTTATGGCCCGCTGTCCAGGGCTGTGCCTGTGGACATCCACTTAGCCCTTCATCTGCCCCAGCAGGCTCAGTTCCAAGGCCCTGGAGAAGGTTTGTCACTTGTACAAGGAGTGATCAAACTATAGAGCCAACGTTTAAACTTTTAAACACTTATTACAGCAAGAGACACATCGCTGTTCACCCCCCGCCCTCAGAACTCTCCCCCTGCTTCACGCACACTCACCCACTGCTCTTGTCACTTTCTGAAGCAGCTCTGAAAGTCTTCTTTCATGAGCGTCTTTATGAAACGTGATTTAAAAAAATAGAGTGAACGCTGCGGCTGTCTACCATCCTGCGGGAAGGTGGACTTGTCACTGTGTGTCCTCATCTGTCCTATGTGCCAGAGCTGGCACCGGGTGACCTCTGGATCTTCCTCAAAGTCGGAATGACCATGACAGGTAAACGTTTTCAACTGATTCAAGAAATCAAGGCAGGTGTGACAGCGCAATTAGATACCCACAAAAGAGGATTTGCAGAACTGCTTCAGAAAGTGGTCAGAATGACGGGAAGTGGGGGATGGGTATGGGGGGGATTCGTGCCAGTGTGTTTTTTACTGTAATAACTTTGTTTAAAAATTTAAACATTCATCATACTTTTCTTTTAGGTGCTGGGGATTAAATTCGTGTTTGCCAGCCAGGCGCTTACACCACTGAGCTAAATCCACAGCCCCCACCATACTTCTCAATCAGCCCACAAAAGAGGCCTCACGGGTAGGAAGAGAAGGAGCTGGGAGTTAAAGCCAGGAGCTCTGTCCCTACAGCCACGCCTTTAACTTTGTCTTTTATCATCTTTGCTGGAAAAAATTGGACAGAAAAAAAATACAAAACCAGGTCAGTGGTGCACAAGAATGCTCACAGGTTGACTTCCGGTGTTTAAATTCCTTAAATTAAGGTTGGGCATTTTGGGGTTCCTGTGTTGTCATATTTCAATCTTAGATATTTTAGGAAATATTTTTATGTTGGATGTCTACTGAATCCTTTAAAAAAACTGTCATTTTAATCAGAAACAATTTAGATTTCAGATATTGGAAAACCTCTCTGGTGACTCTGTCACTTCCTCTGGAGGGAGCAATTTTTCAACACTGAATCTGCAGTAAGGATATGGTTTGTAAAACTGGGTAACTTTTTATACTTAAAGAAAAAAATCTTAGCAACTGATTTCAAGGCTTGTTTCCATCAGTCGGCAGTGTGATTTTTTTTTTTTTTTTTTTTTTTTTTTTTTTGCTTTTTCCTTTTTATCGGTACTGGGGATCAAACTCACGACTGCCTGCTTGCAAGGCAGGTGCTTATGCCACTGAGCTAAATCCCCAGCCCCAGCAGTGTGATTGATTTCCCAGCCGATGCCTGCCTGGGGCTCAGCTCTCAGCTCTGCCTGGTGACCTCTCACTCCAGTGGTCCCTGTCCCCGCTCCGGGCAGCAAAGGTGACAGTGGTGGCTGCTTACACTGGGCTGGGCAGGCGTCATGGCCTTGGGGAACCATCACCTTGCTCGGCACAGGGGGAGGGTGGTCATTGCCCAGCAGATGTTGCTTAGGTTCGCTGATTTTGGCCACAGTCTTAGTCCCTAGGGACACGTTGGGGTCAGCTGTGCACACTCCAGGGCCAGTGGGGCCCCGGGGGGAACACAGCTGTGGCCTGAGACTCTTACCAAAAACAGACACAGCAGGATTTTGAGAGGAAGAGAGACGCAGGAGAGAAGGGTGGCTGCAGAGCCCAGGGCTGGGACTGTGGGGGTCTCACAGAGAAACAGACTGGGGCCATGGGTAGTGGGAGCGATGCTGGAGTCCAGCGCGACACGGCCTTGAAAGGGGACAGCCAGGCAGAGGAGCCTGCCAGGCCGTGACCAAGGGGGAGGCAGCGCCCCCTAGCGGGAGACGGTTGCTCACCGTCTCAGACTTTGCAACCGGCTGGCCACCCTGGCCTTTCCTTTCCGCCGGTTCCGCTTATCTTTGCAGATCGCTGCAGACCTCCTCAGAGTTCTGCCTACAAAGCGCCCTCCCGGGGCCTGAGGGGATGAGATGGCTCCCCCTCTTTCCTGACTTGGGGAATACTAGAAGTGCTGAGCAGGGATTCTGAGCCCTCTAGCTGGATCTCCCAGAAGGGTAACGGCCCACCCAAGCGACAGGTGACAAACAGCTTCGTAGGCCTGAGGTGACAGGTCTGCTCCCCTGGCACCTGGGTCTTTGCACCCAGCCCAGACCCCTTTCCGCTGCCAGCCACGGTCCCAGCAAGACTGCACCGGGACCCACCACCTCCGCCGTGTGTGCTGCTTCAGTCTCAAGGCACTGTACCCCTCTACCGAGCCCCAACCTGAGCCTCCTGCCCGGCTCGGGCCCGTCCTCCTCCTGCTGGGGGTCCCTGTCCCCAGGGAGAACAGCCTGGACTCGGGCAACTGTCAGATTCGGAGGCCTTTCAGGCCAGGTAGCGGTGGAGGTGAGTGAGCCGGGCAGAATGGGGGCTTCCAGTGGGGGCTGGCCAGGCAGGACAGGAGGGCAAGAGACCGGGCAAGGCTGGAAAGAGGGTAGCCCGTGTTTTATAGTAGCAGGAAAATTACCTGTAGTGACATGGAAGATAAGCAATGTACCTTATTAAGCTCCTGGCTTTCACAAAGATTTCCTAGCCCAATATAGAACATGCCAAACTGTGTGCACATGTGTGTGGGTGCATGCGTATGTGGATACACGTGTGTGTGCACATGTGTGTGTGCGCGCACTTGTGTGTGTGCACATGTTGCTGGTGATCAAACCCAGGCCCTCGTACATGCTATTAAAGTTGTGCGTGATGCAGTATGGAAAAAAGAAACTAATCTAGGAAGAGTCTTAGCACAGGAAAGACCCCAGTTTCAAAAATAATTGAAACAGAGTTGGTCCCTCTTTGACTGCAGAAGGTATGATCCAAGATTCCAGAGCTGCCTTTTCCTATACATCAGTTTCTATGATAAAATTTAATTTATAAATTAGGCATAGTAGCAGATTAACAGTAACCATTGTAAAAAAGAACAATTACAGCAATATTCTATATTGAAAGTGAAATGAATGGGGTTTTTCTGTGTCTGTCTGTCTGTCTGTCTGTCTGTCTCTTATTAAGACAGATCAAGTGCAGGGTGTCCCCAGTCCAGTGTGATGTTAGCTTATAGATTAAAGGATGCAATTAGACTTTTTGTTTGTTTGTTTGTGTTTTGTAAAGATTTCTGAAAGGTTTAGGGCTTTATCTAGTAGACCTTTTCTGGTAGGGAAAAATTTAAAACAAAACAAAACCAAAAAAAAGATTTCTAAGAGTGTGGAGATCTTTGTACCCGTTCATGGTAGAAAACGGTCTCCCTCAAAGGTCACTTGCGTGACCCAGAAACAGGGGCTGAGCCACAGCTCGAGTGTGGAAGACTCACAAAGTCTTTAGGAAAATCATGGTGACCGAGTATCACAACAGTGATCTAAAACAGACCCAGACAGTTAGGAGAGAAAGGTGAGTTCCAGGTCCCCTGCCCGGTGGGCTCAGAAGTGGGGTGTGACAGCTGCCCCTGGAAACAGAAGGACACAGAACCCCAAACCTGAGGGTGAAGCTGAGCTTAGGGAACCATTCCAAAGGTGGAGAAGCCGCTCTCAACCAACCGCCTCCCCCGGGCCGTGTCCCTGGTCAGTTACCCAGGACAGGTGGCTGACGCAGCTCCCACAGCTCCCGTGTGCCCCACCTGCGAAAGCAGCATCTTGGTGTCCCGTCGCTGTGTCCTTGTCCTTGCTGTGGAGCGTGTGCCTGGAGATCGTGTCAGGAAGCAGAACTCGGAGGGAAACTCAGCCTGAGGTGACGGGAATGGTGTCAGGAATCCTGTGGCAGGGGCAGCCACCCTGAAGGGGACAGTCCTGTGACAGGCTGATGACACATCTGTAGGGAGCAGGTGCGGGGAGAGGAGCTGGGAGTGACCAGAGGATAAGCAGACCGTGGGGACAGAGGTGGAGCCGACAGCCAGGGAGGGCCTGATCCTGAGGATGTCAGGTGTGGAGGGGACAAAGGAGCCAGGTGGGCGCATCTCTGCTGGAGATTTCTGGTCCCCCAAGAAAGTCCCTGCTCAGAGGCATAGATCTGTGGCCGTGCGGTTTTGTTCCTGAGTGCTGTCCCAGTTCTCTGGGGACTGAGTCCAGACACCTGTTCCCCTGGGCTGAGGGAGGAGGCCATGGCGCAAACTCACTCTGTTCACTGAAACAGATCCTGCTGTGATTATTATTATTGTTTGTTGTCGTCGTCTTTTTGAGACAGGGTCTCACTATGCAGTTCAGGCTGGCCTTGAACTCACTTTGTGGCCCAGGCTGGCCTTGAACTCCCAGCAATCCTCCTGCCTCCTGTCCCAGTGAGCCACCACGCCCAGCTGTTGCAATTATTTCTTCCGTACCTGGCACCTTTGCACCGAGCTTCCTCCCCAGCCAGCTCTTTGCTGCCACCTGTGGCTGTTGGGAAGAGGAGCACAGGACGAGGAGGCTCAGGTGGCCCGGAATGTCCCCTCCCTGGCAATGTGTCTCTGCCTTCCCAGAAAGGCACAGTTCTGAGCCCTGGCCCCACCGCAGGCGGGATCACCACAGATCCCAGAATGTTTCCAATTTCCAATTTACAAACATCTTCGATATTCGGGAAGGATCAATCTGATTTCCTAGAAATTTTCAAGAAATCTAGAAATCATAAATTACTTTGCATTCCTGTAGGCTCCAGATTTCATTTTCATAAGATAATCATATTTTTCCCTATTTTCCTGATTCCCACGCCCCAGGACTCAGATCTCAGAAAAAGATGTGAATTCTCCCAAGGAGCACCAGGAAGGAATTCATGCGTGGAAACGTGATTTGCCAGTGGAGGTTCCACAATACCAGCCCCAACGGTTCCCTAGGTGACAGCAACCACACGCCATGGGGTAGCACAGGTGACATCAGCCCCGGGGGCCTCGGCCCCAGGATGGAGCTTGAAGTTGGGTTTCCCAGCAGCCACAGTGACCCAGCCCATCTGAAAGGCTTCCGCCCTCTTTGGGGACTCCCTCAGGGGACTGAGCCGGTCACAGTGGCTCACTGCCCTCCCTCTGCAGTGCCCTTTGTCTCCTCCATCTTGGAAACCACCCGAGTCCCCTCCAGCAGAAGTCTGGGGGCGCTGTGTAAACATGTGGCACCGTTACCCTTTCACCCTGCTGGCTGCAGGCCTGCTCTAGCAAGGACAGGGTGACAGCAGTTGTCACTTTCCCAGCCGAGGGGGAGCAGGGGGACAAGATTAGCAGACCAGGGCAAGGCTGGTAACACCCACTACACTGAGGCCTCCCCAGATGGTCAGCCCCGCCCCACCTTTCAACCAAGGGGCAGCCTGGTTTGGGGAAGGGGAGGGTAGGAAAGCGCCCTCGGGAACCCCTTCTGCTCCCTAAGAAAGCCTGTACCGAAGAAACTGTAAGTTGCAGCCTAGTACCCAGGTGTGGTAACGCACATCTGTAATCACAGCACTCTGGAAGGCTGAGGCAGGAGGATCACAAATTTGAGCCCAGCCTTGGCAACTTCACAAAACCTTGTATCAAAATAAAAAAACACGAAGGCCCAGGGGCATAGCTCAGTGTGAAGGTCTTGGTTCAGTCTCCAGGACTGAAAAAGTCTAATTTAGGCTATGGCTTTGGAGTCAATGGAAATTCTAGAAGCAAGGCTTCCCTGCCCTCTGTTGCTCTGAGCTGTCGGATTTTGGTGTAACTTCAGCATCCCCACAGCCCACAGAGGCTGCTCTCAGAACCTGAGCCGCAGAAGAATTCCGGGCCTGGAAACTGGGTCCTCGGGTCCGTCCTACCTCACCCCTGAGGGGCCACCATGGCAGTATTTTGGTGGTCTGGTGTTGGGCTCAGGCTGAGCAGCTTGGTAATAAATTTACACCCCGTTAGAGCCCCTCCTGGAACTCAACTCTGCGGAGTGAACAGTGCCCCTAAGTCGTGCAAGACCATGGGTGCCTGGCATAAAATACCCAGAAAGGTTTTGCTTTGTATTGTTTTCTGTCTTTTTGACACAGGATCTCGCTATGCAGTTCAGGCTGGCCTTGAGCTCACTTTGTAGCCCAAGCTGGCCTCGAACTCACATCGATCCTCTGCCTCAGCCTTCAGAGTGCTGGGATTACAGGTGTGCACCAGCATGCCTGGCTGAAAGTTATTTTT